CCTACTACATTAATATTCCAATGAGCAAAGTGAATGCTCAATGGACCAGGCAATATTAACGCTGCTGTGAAATAAACATTGTGAAGCGTCCAGTGTTTCGACTTGAAAATCTTCAGTGATTGGTTGGCACTGATAATTCAAGTGGCACAGTTAGAAGCTATAAAAAGAGATTGATTTGAGATAGGAAAAGAGAAATGGAAAGAGAATCTGGTGTCAGCTATGAGTGTTACAAGCTGCAGTTTCTGTTAATCTCTGTGTTTGAAAGCAGAGGTGAGAGAAGATTTTCAGTTTTATTGTATTTAGTGGAAAATCAAAGAATGTCAATAAGAAGGAAAGATAAGAAAAATATGCATTCCCTTGATATTTCTATCAACATATGCAATTGTTTTTCCTGAGGAACAGAACAAATAATGAAAACATAAAAGAGGAAACCTGGTAGAAGAGAAGAAAAAGATTTGGAAGGAAGGATGACGTGGTGGTCTGAGCCACTACATCATGGGCTTGCACTGGTTCAATTCTTCATCCTTTCTTGTCCTGTGTGTCTTCAGATGAGTTACTTCAGCTCTGTCTTCAGTCCCTTTTAGGGTAATAGCATTTCTATGTTTATTGCAAATACATGCAGATTGAAAGTAATCATGCTTTAGGATGGGAAACCTATATGGCTCTTACCTTGGGGGTACCAGAACCCTTTCCTAGGAGAAATTACAATCCTCAGTAAAATTTTTCTCAGTCTTAATTCCTTCTTGTGCTTAGTAGGGATAGTGCACATACTAGCACCAAGTCCAACAGCACCCCATGTTAGAAATGGAAGTTTACAGTGTGGGTATATTCCTGGTTAATTCACAGGCTTGCAGAGATGGGCATTTGACAAGCTGAGCTGAGCACAAAAAAGTGTGACTTAGAGTAAGAGTTAGAAGTCCTATAGATGGCAGTGGCCTTTTTTGCTGTTTGCCAACGTATAACAATTAATGTGCTATTATCTTGATAATAACCTATGTTGTTCTTGTTTTGTTTGATACTGTTCTCTTAATTATTATTTTTATTTTATTTTAGCAGTACTAGTATGTGCTCATACAGAAAGACACAGGTCAGACATGCATGCACCTTCTACAAAATGATCTGTTGACTTTTTTATGCTTAAATGTATCAGACATAACCATGCTGAAAAATGTCAGCTTCTTCATATGGATTTGGTCAGCTCACAGCCCCAAGTCCTCTGGATTCTGGGAAGCAAGGTCCTCTTCTGGTGACCTGAGGACGAGGACCTGCTATCTCAGTGGTACAGAAATCCTGTTACCTGTTTGACCCATGGCCTTCCAACTTCCACTACAATGCAGTGTGATCTTCTGCAGAAATAAACATTTTACCTGGCTTCTCCCATGACACTGTTTATGGTGCAGGTAGAAATAAAACATGTCTTTCACCCTGTCCTACTCCCCAGCTCTGTCATTCAAGCATCCAGTGACACCAAGCAATGCTGAGCTCTTCATGGAGCTGCAAGGAGATGGGTCTGCAGTAGACCGTCTGGAAAGAAGTGGGAGGCAGTGACCACCAGCTGCAGTGAGGGAAATTCCTTTGTGCACAAGGAAAAAAAGAAATCAATGAGATGGTGATGCATTGCCATGTTAAGTTGTAGAGTTTCCATCCCTGAGGATATATTCAGAAACACAGCTGGGCATGGCCTTAATCTAACTTTGGGGGTAATCCTGCTTTGAGCAGAGGCTGGGCTAGATGACCTCCAGAAGTCCCTTAATAACTAAGACATTCTGTGATTGTGTGATTCTACAGTGTTGTTGTGAATATATGTACCTTAATACACACAAAAAGCAAAGGTTTGGGTAGGGTCTGGCCTTTATTTTAAGAAACGTAAATAGTAATTCACCCCAGCAAGTCAGTGACTGTAGCTGGTGCAGAATGGCAAGAAAGAGTTACAGACACTAAAGGAAATGTTTCTTTCCTGTAGCTGGGCAACATCTAGTCTTCCTCTCTTCTGAATAAAAAGACCCTCTTCATTCTGAAAATTGTTTATTCAGAAATAATGAATTGGTTCTTATTTGTCATCAGCTGCAGTACATGCATTTATTTTGCAATAAGCAAGAGTCTCTTCACTGATCTGTTACAATACTAGGAAAAGGAACAAAGCCCTATAGATCAGATCTTAAATTTAAGCTTATATAATACTAAATAGTATTTTTCTTGTGGGCCCAATATCTGCAGCAGCTTACCCCAGAGAACCTGCAGTTGAGATATTTGACAAAGACAGACAAATGCATAGATGGGAAAGTAGAAGGCAAAAGGACAAATAAGGAACAATAAAGTAAACATGTTTTTGAGTAATCACCAAGACCAAGGTTTTGTCAGATGCTTATATTTACCCCTGCGTGGTGCAGAATTACCTTGGTTTATTTTTGAAATGCTGTAGGTAACGTTTTGTAAAAATGGGATTACATGGGACTTCCTAGAAGACAAGATTTCAAGTAGCAGCATTACTGTGCATTTGCACAAGCTTGATATCCCTCAGAAATTAAGGAGAAGATTGTCTGCTTGTCAAAATGTCTTCCAAAAATGAAAGAAACAATTTTCCACAGTTTAATAAAAACAGATGACATCTGCTCTTTCAGACAGACTGATACTGTTAGCTACTTTAAATTGTACCTTATTCTCAGTCCTGCAAAAGCTCAGCTTGATTGCTATTGATTTCAATGACACTATTGATAATAAAGGAATAAGAAGTCACATGCTCTGCAGAATCAAAATCTTTTTTTTTTTTAATTTTTTTCTGCCAAATTTTCTTCTTGCTCCCAAAGAAATTTATTGGCCATAGGAATTCCACTGTCAAAAATTATTTGAATTTGTTTATTAGCAAATTCAGCATCTCAGTAAACTGTCATTTTGTATAACAAATCAGTATCATCTACTTTTTGTTCCTCTGTGTTAATACTTTAATGTGCTGGTGGCACTGTTACTAGCAATAGAATGCTATCACTAAAAAAATGTCAGGGTGACTATTTAAATTTATTTACAACATTTTACAGGAGAAAGCTATTCCACTGTCATTATCTTTTCAATTAGTCAAGCCCACTGTGCTCCTGATAGTTACAAAATGAATTATTGTACCAACACAGAGAACATTCTCCAACATGTATGTGAGAGTATAATAGGTGGGGAAATTATGCTCACAGTTTGGCTCTTCAGAATTTGTGAACGTCGTATTTTAGTAGTATAATGAAATTCAGACTGTGTTGAAGTATTAAAATAATCTGAGGAAGAATGACCATATGATTCATCAGCAGAGCTGTAACATGCTCCAGTTTAGCAATTCACTCTGGTCTCTAGTCTCTAATGTGGGCAGAAAATTAAATGATTGCCTGAGGGTGTCCAGCCATAATGTCACAGCATTGTGCTCCAGCATCAATAAAGATTTGGAGCTGTAGACAGTAAAAGTTAGACATACATATGCTTGTGTGTCTCTGACTTAGACTTCATGGCAGCTCTGTGTGCACTAACCTCATGCTGCCTGTCCTGGGAGCAAACACTTGTCAAACCCTTCACATTCAGGCTCAACATGTGAGATCCAATGCAAATGCTGTGACTTCAGGACATCTGAGACCAAGCAACGGGCTGTAGGTGCACAGGCTCCTTGTCTTAGTCAGGGAATTTACCTTCACAGGAGAGTCAGGTTTAAATCTTTCTTGTGTCTGATGAGACTCCTATTTGAAGGTCCCACCTTACAGAAAAATGCCCTATCTGATAATGCAAATATTTTAGTATTTACAAGAGCAGCCATTATCCTTACTCTAAATCATGTGGATTATGGGCTATCTGTAGACAAAAAAAGAACAGTCCTGGGTTTAGTCTTTGTCCATAAAGCAAAGCAGCACAATAAAGAGTTTGCATTCACAGGTCTGCCTTTTCGCTCTGAGTAAGCAGACTACATAAAAACTGCTTACTTAAAACTGTTTTTACCTTGTACTATCCTCCAAATTATGTCAAGTGAGCCAAAATTGGACCAGGAATCATTATAACAGTAGAAGAGAATGAATGGTTTGGCTTCAGAACCTGGGTCCATTCCCTGTTTGCTTTACTGGTACAGATGAGTCCTTAAGGATTAGTGTGCCCAAATGAGGAGACCTTGTGTCTTGCCTTTGTCCCAAAACTGCTTACCTGAAACTGGTTAAAGTGTGGGAAGGTGGGGCTCTACTTACAGGTGCAAAAAACATGTTTCAATCAGTTCTTTCATCTGGAAATGATGTGAAATATACTAGGGTGGGATACTTGCACTTCTGAACTCCAGCTGAGGAAAGAGGTCTCTGTACATACAAACCTGTGGGGAGCTGCCATGTCCTGCTAAGAGGGAATAGGAAAGCTGGCAGAAGAGAAGGCAGTGGAATGGGGGAAGTTTCTCTTGTATTGCAGGACCTCCTATAGTTTCTGAAACGTTGTTGTTCAGAAGAAAAATGAAAGAGAAACATTTCAGGGTCTTTCAAAAGTTAAAAGAAAGGAACATGTTCCAACCCCCTGAGCCCCCAAGGGTTCAGGCCTTTGTTCTGGATTTCCCTTTTGTGACCTGGAATTGGGACCTGCTGTGGGTTCTCCAAGCGAGATGTAAACTTTATTTGCCTTATAATTGCCTCATTATTTAATGATTCCTCCAGTATGGAGCTGCTCAAAGGAGAGGAGACTCCAATCAGCAGTAATCACAACCAAATTTTTACCCAGGATATGGGACCCTTTCTGTTCTTACTCCTTACCATTCTTAAAGTCTCCTTACTGTCCTTTCCTCACTCCCAGAAGAGTGTTATTCTGGGATGGATACTTCTCAGACCTGAAATCCCATCCTGAAACTCATAAATCTTTTCTGACTAGCTTTTTTTTCAAAGCCAGCAAACCCTCATATGAATGTGCTCTTGACAGTGATGTTTCCCAGCAATGACAGAAACAGCATTGAGTCATTAAATATCCCCTCTCACTTAAAGTCAGATATTTAGTACACTACACTTATAAATCTGCAGCGAGCAGAGGGCTATTTGTGGGAGATTTCCCTGATGCCCTTGTTTTTCGGAGGCTCGAAGGATGTATAATGAAGAAATACACAGATGCTTTTCCTAGATGTATCTGTGTCAAACTGGATTTAACATCAGAATTATCTCTCCCTAAACACAAGGTAACACAATGAATTTCAAAGAGAATGGCAACAGATCACTCTGCTCGTACATGGCTATGGAATCTCTGTTCCGTGCATAATTCACGATAGCTTGATGTCAAGTCTTTGCTGCACTCAAATGAAGAGATAAAAAAAATATAATAAAGCGTAGCCACCTGTGATGGGAAAAATCTGAGATAAACCTAAGAGAAGCTACATATGTTGGATCTATTCACTTTAATTTTTTAGGAGCACTGCAAAGATTCATTAGGCAGCATAACAGTTGCTGACAGAATCATGTATACCTTTTTTTATTTTCATTTTCCAGTTATGTGGCTGAAGTTTAATGCATTTTTATGGAATTATACAGGAATCTAAAGGCTGACATTTTGAAAAGCAGAAGCGTCACTGAAGAAATGGAGCAACTGAAAGTCAAGGTCAGTTAATCACCTACACTGTTTAGGTCAAGACCTTAACCAGTAGAAGTTTTTGGCTGTCTCCTTGAATTGAAGTGATGTCTTAAGATACATTATCTACCTTCTGCCAAACCTGTGGCTATTGGATATGCTAAAAACCTCCTAAATATTCATATTGCTCTATGGAACCACGTGGAGTCTTCTGCCAAACTAAGAACTGCTGCTATGCTAGGTTATATTTAATAGACAAAATAGGAATGGTTGTGCCAGACCAGGACCAATACATAATCCATCTCCCTGCATCCTGTCTCTGAGAGGGGCCAATAGAAGGCTTGATGGAAAGTGTGTAGGAGTAAGACTATCATGTAGTAACACTTCTCTGTGGTATTTTCCCAGTCTTCTCTAATGAGTCCTCAACAATCTTCTGAGCCAGTGGTGTCATCTTATTATCAAATGGTCCTCAATGGATATTTCTTCCTCAAGTTTTTCTGGTCACATTTTGATCTCATCTTAATTTTTTGCTTCCACAGTGCCCTGTGCCAAAGAGCTGTAGTAACTGGCCAATGACATTTGATTCCTCCTGGTTCTTAGGGGATTTATTTAAAAAGTTACTTACACAGCTACCAATCAAAAGAATTGCATAATCAGTGTGTACTTTTCCTGTGTGGATGCATCTTTGTTTTAGTTTCCTCTCTGTAAAATACAGCCATGTTCCCACAACATGAAAGGATGCTGTTTGTGAATCACTGAGATGTTATGGACACAGTGCCAAGCCTGTGGAAAAGTCCGTGGGGAAAATGAACAGCTGAACAGCATGCTGTACATGAAGCTGGGGCCCAGATAGTGAATAATGAGGAGAAAACAAATTATCAGTGGGATGCTCATTAAGTGAACACCATCCTCTAGTGTACTGGACAAGCATAGACAAGCTTGTTATCCATTTCTGTAATTAGAAGCAGTGTCCTAATAGGTATGCAGAAAAGCATTGAATTCAGGTGACTCTTGTGTGACATTGCAGTCTCAAAAATTTGTTTTAATGCTGTTTGTGCACGTGCATGTCCCATGTCAGGGATAATGCCTCTCATTTAAAGTGAGACAGCTGCTTATTAAATATCAGTATTGTATTTTTTTCTTTCTAAATTCTAAAACACACAAGAGATTCAGAACAGCTGAATTGCTTTTGCTGAGAATTTCATTTCACAACCTACTGATTGCATTATGGATACACTAGTGCAAATATTATTTCTGTAAATGAAAAGGACCACTGTTAATTACTGTGACCTGCATAGATCACATGTGCTAAGGTTAATTGGAGTGTTTATCAGGCTCCTGTTGATAATGAAAACCAGATGCTTTTCACTCACACCAAGATGTTCATAGTTAGCAGTTTCCATATAAAATTAAATTCTATAGGGAGAAGTGTTTGCAAGATGTCCTGGGCTGGTAAACACAAAAGGGATAGATTTAGAATTATCTTTGAAAGTGGTATCCTGTGATATTTATGATCAAGAAATATTTTTGTAACTATTGAAGAAAGGGTTGAATACTGAGGCCAACTGCCCAGTTGCACTAGGAAAGAGCCAGGAATGAACTGATTCAGAAGAGATCTGCGTATATTTATATGGTTGTTTTACCTCTGGGTTAGAGCTGACATAAGGTTCCTGGCAATGTTTGAAAGCTTGCCTTCTTGATCCCAAAATCTCACTCTTGTACAGGTAAAATGAGGTTTTACTGTTTCACAGCTGTCAGTTCAGTACCTTTAACGAACATGGGAATTCACAGAAGAGAAGTAGTAGTGGAAGCTGGTATTAGTGAAGGTGGAAGTCAAATGCATAAATAGATGAAAATTCAATTCCCACTGTGTTCTATGGTACATACCTTGTGGCAGCTATGTGGGGCAGGATTCCACTGTAATCTGGCATGATCACACCAAAAAAGGACAAGAAATAAACACTTCTGAGTTTCAAATTTAAATTAAGGGAATATAAAATTAAAACATAAATGAACGAAACAAACTTAAGTGAATATAAACTTGTAGAAATTAATGTTTTATGGATATAAAGCATTCTCTGGACATTCTGCACAGCATGAGCCTAAAAATATCTTCCAGCTTTATGTCTAGAATGGCAAAAGTAAGGAATAGGTGGTACTGGGGTGATTTTTTGACATTAACTTTGCACCACAGCCAAAGTAATTACAGTGGTTACTCTTAGACCACAGCCAAGAGCTGAGGATACGGCACAGCTAATTTCTTATTGACAAAGGTGGCCTTCTCTACAGCAGGGAATATACTGACAAAAACCTGATGTTAGCCAAAGCAAAGTCTTCCAGCTTTGTTTGCTGGTAAGACAAATAGCCACTACAACATAACTTCTTTCTTGCATCTGCTAGAGGAGACAGAAGTGAGGTGTAGTGTAACTGGTAAGGACATATATTCATGCTGCATCATTACTGGTGCATGAAGCTGCAGTGCCGTGCTGTACACCCACATGTGTTGTGTGATTATAGAGAAGGCAAAGAAGGATGCATGAAGCCAAAAGGAGATCTCTGACAGTGTATGGCTTCGGTGGTCATGAGCTGTGTGGTGGCTCTGCTTCCTCTCACCTGTTTGCTTGCTTACCGTAGGATGGTTGTGGTTGCATGGAAACCAGATGCACAGTCCTCAGGTAAGGGAGTAGCAGCAAACCATGGCAGTGGCGTCCATCCCTGCCTGCTCCTTGCAGTAGCCCAACAACACCAGCACAGGCAGAAGGGGCTCTGCCCCAATCTGCTTGACAGCTCTGGGATTTGACCACCCCTCAGGGCAGGTGGCTCTGACTTGTGCTCAGCCAAGGGCACCCAGGAGCTAAGGTCTCCCCAGACCTGGGCACAAAGTGTCCTACCCAGCATGTCTAGGCAGGAGTACATAGATTTTGGGGATTGCCCTTCTGAAGAGCTTAATTCTGCAAGCTGGCAGTAAGTGGTGCCTATGCTCCCAATCCTAGACATTAGGCACCCAAACTTTGGCATCAAAGCATGCAAAACATTCCCTCCCTCGGCAGTTGACTGCAGCAGTCAGTAAGGCTTTGGTTTTGGCTACCAGTTAGTCCTAATTTTACTGTGGGTCTCCTGAGGTTAAGGAAGGATGAAGTCAGGCAGCAGTTGCTGAGGTTTGGAATTGCCAGAGAAAGGATGGATCTCTCAGCAACTTCACATGCATGATACTGAAGGATCATCCCTTGGCAACTAAGCTTTGGCCATAATGGAGTTACTAAAAGTTGCTGAGAAGAGCTGATTCATGGGCACCAAGGTCTACACGGTGTGCTCTGGGAGTCACTGGCAGTATTCCACAAACCTTATAGGAAGGGAATTAAACTGCCAGGCAACTCCCGGCATTTGCAGAGTTTCTCAAATTCTTGCGTTTGTTGCAGTTACCAAGGGTGTCATCTTCTCTTCCATCATCACAATAATCCCTTCTTCCACACACTGTGCAAAAGGCTATTTGGTATCTAACAATTCCTTTTCATTCGTTTTTGGTTCCTTGTTTATATTAAATGTGAGATCCCTGAGAAAATAACAAGAAGTGAAAAGCAAGTTCACTGGTGCTTTACCAGTGTATTACTTGGTATTTCAACCCATCTGGGTATATGTAGTTAACAAGTTAGATTCAAATTGCTTGAAAATCATTTAACATTTCTCCATCTTTCATTTATTTCTCCTCCTTTCCCCTCCCAAAATACCAAGCATTTCAAACAGTGATCTAATTAAAAATGAAAGAGTATTTACTTGTTTTAAAATGCCTGTGTTATTTCTAACACCAAGGGAGAGGTTGATGTATGTTAAAAACTTCAAATCTAGCATTCTTTTTATTCACATAGGGGATAGAAAGGAAGAAATGTTAGCTTATTTATTTCCTGGAAACATTAAAATTTCCCTACCCTACCCTACCCTGCAGTGTGTTTTGTTTTGTTTTATTTTTTAATAGTCTGTATTCTGATTGCAGCTTGGTAAGGAATAAAAGAAGATTCTTTAGTCATGGGAATGCAGATATGTTTATTTCCACTTTGGGAGTATAACATACTTCTAAAAAAATTCAGCTGTTTCCAGCATTAGTTACTGAAGCACCTGGTATCCCACGCTCCACCCAAGATTATAAAAATATTTGAAACTGCAGGAAGGCGATACAGCTGTGCAAGCTTATATGGAGACTTGTTGATTTCATTAAGTTCAGAAAAAGCAGCTATACCCATAAATGTGTAGTTGCTTGAAAGAGAGAGATGCCATTTGTTAAAATAAAGCTTTCCCCTTAATCATCTGGTATGTAGTTAACATTATAGTCCCCTATCATTTCCCAGGCAATGTGGCATAACCAAATTCTGTTCTCTTTGCAAACATATTAGTTTATTTTTAAGGGTGAATAAAGACACAGTGAAGAGAAATTCAGATCCAGCTCTTGCTGTTGATATTTATCATAGTGAAAAGTGTTTGAAAAAAAACACAACACAAAACAAACAAACAAACAAACCACCACAAACCAAATTAAATTTTCTAACTTTGTGAGTGTTGTCTATGACCATAAATGCAGTTTCTTATTTGAAGACCCTTCTTGCCTTGACTTACTAGATGGCAAGCATATAGCAACAGGAGAGAGCCCTGGCTGGAGGATGCTGTACATATGGGGAAAAGAGCAATGACTGTTTCAGAAGATGGAATTCAATTGTCGGAAGGGCCGGATATGTCCCCTCCCATTGGTCCAGCCGGGGAAAGCTCCTACCATCATCCTGGAAACAGGAAAAATGACACCATGCATCCTTAAGTGTAAGGTAAAGGGATGCGCATCATTCAAGGATAAATGAGGATGTGGAAAATGGTACCTATAAAAATGGGTCTATCTCTGAAAGACAAGAATCCAAATCCAAAAGGAAAGCTATTCATTACAGTGAAGCTAATCTGAAAATGCTTAGTGTGGGAGATAAATGGAATTTTCATCTTTCCCCAAACTCAAGAATCCCCAACTATTTTGAAGAATAGCCAAAACCTAT